AATTAACAACCCAAAAAAGTAAAATCATGCTTCTCAATTATTTCCACTTCTCCCATTATTCACGGTGTACTAAAAAATCACCAAATCTATACTTTGACCTAAAAGAAATTTACATATACATGAATACATCTATGTAAAACTAAAACCACACCTTCTAGGTGGGAATAGAAATCACTATATTTACAAATACTAGTCGTTGGAGCACGCGCGTTGCGCGTGCCCCCCGACGGCAAGATAAGCAATATTCGTTGAGTGTTTTGCTTGCTGTGATATTCGTGGTGTTGTCAAAATATGAGTTAATAAATATATTGTTTGTTAATAGTAGTAATAAAATCGAGTATGTCTAGGAAATTGGTCAAAAAACCGCTATGTGTCGTGACCAATTGGAATGTAAATTTAAAGATAGTAGAAGCGGTTGACGCATGTGTGTATGAACATTGTGCATATAATCATATGTACCAAAAGGAACTTTCTATTTTTGTGTTGTTATAAAATGCAAGTACAGCAATAGATTGTGTAAGAATTTGAACGGCTTTAGTGCTGAAGTCATACAGTCATATATTAGAAGAATCTGTCATGGTTACATTGATTGGTCAATTCATGTCCTTATATTGCGTGGTCTGTGGCGTTTTGCTTCCTGCACTCTGTCTTTCTTCTCCTTTTTTTCCCCTTCTCTGTGAAATCACAATTCTAATTTCGTGGTGATGGGTAGCACTGACAGCACTGCAACTTCCGGCAAGGTTTTCTCACCACCAATTTGGAGGCCTAATGATCGGAAATCTAAAAAAGAAAATGTTGCAAGCTTTCGCTTGTACACCATTGAAATGAAGATAAAGATGGACCGTCATCTAGAACTGCTTGAACAAGGAAAAGGACAAGAACAAGAAAGAAAGAGGGGAAACAAGTAATAAGAAAAGACGAGGCGTTGAGAAAAATGGTTGTGGGGAATGGCCTGTTATTATTATTGATTCAGACAATAATGAAGCGGACAAAAAAGACAAGGAGGGTGTTGGTGCAGAGGGGAAAAAAGAGGACGTTGAAGAAGAAGATGATAGTGAGGAAGACGAAGAGACTGATGAAATTACTGAAAGTGATCTGAATTCTAATTCAAGAACTGAATCTCAGAAAGAAGGTGTTGCTGATTTAGATGAAGAAATGGAATCAAGTAGTGATAGCTATAAAGAGGATGATGATGACAGCAGTGGTGGAGACTCTTCTTTTGGGAACAATGAAGAAGGAAATCCAGAGACAAGTGAAGATTCTTCAATGTTTCGTATGAAGATTGTTGATTGATTTTATACTGTTCATGGTTAAGTGTGTTTTTGGGGTTTAATTGCGCTACTGCTAGGGTATGAAGTGAAGGCTTGGTAGGAATTTTTTTGGGATGTTAGTTTTTGATATCAGATTATGCTGATGTATTTTCATGATTTTCATTGTTTAGGTATCCTTGTTGAATTGTTAGATGTAGATACGTAGTTAGCTTTTGGGAAGTCCAGAATCAGTTTAATTAGTAAAGGATGTTAATAGGTTGTAATTATCTGAAATTAAGCTCTTGCTTTTCTCATAAAGAATCGTTGAATTTGATTATGTAATTTGTGTTTTGCGTGGTTGTATATTTATTGTAGTAAACTGTTAATTAGCATATTTTATAGCATACTACCTAACATATTCGATATATTGCACAAGGTTATATATTGCATAAGGCTATCAACTTATAATAACAATTTGGGAGTTTTCTGATGTCCAATTATTAGCCTGTTGAAAAATAGAAAGGAATCTAAGAAGCTGTAAAAAACATAGAGATATGGAATCTTATACTTCAGTTTTTTTTGCCAAAATAAATTACAGTAGTACTGCCTTAAATTTCCTGTATTAATATGTTAAATAGTGTAACAGTTACAAACTCTTAATTCTATGTATAAATAGAAACACTTTTTATAGGTTAGTAAGCACACCACGACCTGTATTTGCCTTTTTTTGGGGTGTTGTTTCTTCATTTCATAACTTGGAGTGTATGTTCATTAGAAAATAGGGGTCTAGCTTAGGAATTCAATGGCAGAATTTCCAATAGTATTTACAGTACGATATGGGAGCGATGATGATCATGATAAGAAGCTGGTATACAAGTATATTATTAGTGGCTTTATTGTTGTTGCAATTGCATCTAAACTGTATTTTGTTGTTTGTCTATGTATGCCTTCATTTTTGTCATTGTCCTAACAATTGCTGAGTCTATGTATTATCTTGCATAGTCTTGCTTATGTATAACTACTGCTTTATGTGCAGCGTATCCCTGATGGTTTCAAAGACGTGCTAGAGGATGGTTTTTTAAATATCGAACTATTTATGTGTGATGGGCATGGATCTTGGTTAGTAACTCTGGTGCACGAAGAATGCAGTACTGATTGGGGAATATATCTTGATGCAGGGTGGAGTGATTTTGTTGGAGATAATGGTTTAGATGTAGGTGATGTCCTACTGTTTACCTATTTAGGGGACAACTCATTTAGTGTCCGAATTCAGACTGATAGGGAAGCAAAGAAAATTGAAAAAAGACATGATGATACCTCAAGAAGTTCTCATAAAAAGCGTGGGCGGAAACCAGCCATTGAAGGACTTTCATCTAAAATGATTAAGACCAATGCTTGTCTTACTCAACTTGCAGCTGCTTGTCAGGAAGAATATTTCCTATTTTCATTTTCAGCAGCATATATTCAGCAAGGAGTTATAGTATGTTTTCTAAGATGTTATTCACTTCTTGGTATGCCTATTATGTATGTGTGCATGGACTAATACAGTGCTTTTTTGTTACTGTGTTGGTTGCAGAACGTTCCTATTTTCAGCAGCATATATTCAGCTAGGGTGCATTTTAAGGATTTCCTTGACACTACAGATGTAATTCTCCAGAATGGCAACACAAAGTTCAGCGCTCAGCTGAAGGTTACTAAGATTGGGAAGATAATTAGTACCTGCTCTATTAAGAACGGGGTTAACAAATTCATTGATTACTTCGGTGTTCAGGTAGAGGAAGGTGCTTTGATCAAGCTCAGAAAAGGGAACCTAATAATCTTTGATGTCAATCTAGTCCTAGTGTAACTGTTTGGATCCACTTGTCAATCTAAAATTAAACGTGATTAGGAATGTTTGTTCTTTTTTCTTCTTTTGTTTTTTTTTTTTTTTGGTTTTTTTTGGGTGGTTTTCTTTTTTTCTCTGAGGTTGTGTTTTGAGAGTAATAGACTAAGTATAATAGGTAGAGGTTTTTCCTGTTCTAAGATAGAATAAGCGCAGGCACTATGTAAGTTCCTTGGTTACGTATTTTATGATATGATAGCAGATCTAATTCGAAGATAGTACTGAAATCTTTCATTTGCTTATTAACTTGCTATGCAGCAGTATTGTTCAAACCAACTAACCAGTTCAATTTCAGTAGCTAATATATGGTTGTATAGTGACATATTCAAATTGCACAAAACGAATCAAAAGTTTATTCCATTAGCGAATCTATAGCTATATATGCGAACAAGGTAAATGCACAGCCTCATTAGTCACACATGCAATAAAAGTTTAGTTTTTTGCTACAGAGGGGAAAATGGATCCGAAAAATATCAAACTGTTGTTGAAATTACATCTAGGCAGATGGCTGCTCTTACAAAATGGATTTGTATACTAAAGCTGACTAATAGCAAGTGAGAAGTTGTTACCAGAGTCCATAGCCTGTGTAGAAGCATTAGCAGCTATGTTCCATAATTCGATATATATTTCTTTTTTGTATTGATTTTTATGTGAAGGCCGAGACTTTCTATGTTACAAAAAGCACCATGAATTGTATACCCTGCAAGATTAAACTGAAGTGTAAGTTTGATCATTCTGATTATCTTAAAGGAAAAATAGTAAGGGAATGTATACATAGACAGGAATATAGCCACACTGATATTAATAGAGAAAATGACATTTATAGATATAAATTAGATAGAAATTTGTCTTGCCCTTTCATCAGATTAATAGCAAACTGCACTATTAGCTACAGCCTATAGTGCTTAAAAGGGTGCCAATGAACTGTGATTAAAAACTGAACAGAAAAACGTATAATAACTTAGCTTATATTATAGATAAGTATCCTGATTTAAGGATACAAGCTAGTACATCATAGTTACCCTTGCATTACTATATACATAATATAAGATTTTAGGCATACTAAGTTGAGTGTCCTACAGAGAACTGTAGAACAGCGTTTGTTACAGAGGTTTAGTACTATATACATTCTTGATGTTTATAGGGAACACAAGATGTCCAAAATGTTCCTTCTAAACAAGCAAAAGACATCCCAGATTTAGCAAATTACCATATAAAGGCAATTGATTTAAACCCACATTCTAACAGCAAAAGGTGGCACACATATATATATTTTAGCCTGGATTCTAACAAAAGTCACAAAGGAGGCTTCAAGACGCGTCTTCAGTGTCAGAACTTTCTTTCTCAGAATTGTTTTTGAAAAGAGCTGTCTGGAGCTTCTTTCTAGGGCCATGCTCCTCATCATCTGATTCCTGCATCTTTTCAGAAGGCATTGGTTCTTTGTTTTTAGCATTGCTGCGGGAACGAGTAAGCCTGCTCCATGTAGGCAATTCAGTGGTTGGTGCTTGTGCTTCTGTGATTGTGATTCCTTTACTTGGTGGTTGAAACGGTGCATCAAAGCAGTCTGTGTCGAAGGCCTGAGAAGCTAGCCTGAACTCATGGAGTTGAGCTATCTCAGCAAGGAGCTCATCACTCATTTCTGTATTGTCTTCACTGTCAGTAGCATTTCTCTCTGAGTTACAGAAAGATGGTTGTTTGCCATGCATTTTAGCTCTCTCAGAAACTGCATCCTCATTCATGGAAATTTTCTGTATTTTCTGTCCTTGATTAACTGCATAAACAATCTCTTCTTTGTTAAGACTTGAAGATGATGAACCTAGAACCTGGGCACTTGGTTCTGCATCCTCCACTTCAATGGTTTTCAGAGTTCAAAGGAGAACACTGTTCCTTGCAAGTTCCAAAGTTGGTGTCACTTGAATGAAAAAAGGCTTGGTCGACAGAACTTCTTGTACAGCCTTGAAAGCATCAAAATTGCCCTGTAATATTTAGAGTAGCACATAAATAGGTAGTAGATGATAGGCATTGCATACATACTCGAATGTCACTCACCAGCAGTAAAAGGTATGTAAAATGCAAAGTTGCAGCAAATAGGTTCTAATTTGGAATATAAGGTCATTTAAATAATGAGTAGTCTATCAAGTCAACCATGGCCATTGAATGTATTTTTATAGTGCAGATAAGTATCTATATATAACAAGTATGCTCGAAAAAAGTCTTTACAAATTTAGAAAGGTGTGTATTCTTACAGTGGTTTTCATCTCCCAAATTTCAACTGCTGTCTTTCGGAAAAGTTTTTCTGTGTCATCATTAAAGGTTGTGAATGACATAGTTCCACTGGCATCAATAGCTTCAAACTTGAATGTTACTCTGAAAAAAACATACAAGTTAGTCAAGGCACGTGTAATAATTACTTTATTGTAAAGCATAAATAAAACTGAATAACAGGACTACACTTGTGGACAGCAGTAGCATCGGATTTTTTGCATGAAATGCAAGGAAAACGAGTCCCTAGAGCAAGATGTGTTCGCTTTCCACAGCCAAGACAACCTATGTAGGCATTCACCCTTTGCAAGTCAGCTTCTGGTATAGTCACTCTAATCCAAGCTATCTCATCAGGAGTTGCATTAGCTGCCTGCGTGCATTAGTAGCATTAATCATATATCAGATATCAGGTGATAATTATGTCTGTAGGAAATGCTGTGAATCATTATTTATGGACTTTTTTTTTCCTAGTTAGTTTTCTAAACTTAATTAGAATAGTGTGTAGAGGACCTTCTTGTTTCGGAGTTCAGCTATTGTGACAACTTTCTTTTCAGTTCCTGGGTATCTGACATTTAAAATCCTCTCCTGGCGATCTAGAAATACATGCTGATACAATTGAACCCTAAAACAGAGAGGTAGACATAACTATATTGGTATTTTGAGAAGGCCTAACTGTACATTCACTATATATGCAATACAAGACTCACCACTCACGAAGCATGTCTGCCCGTGCTCCTTTAGGATTTAGGATGATTCTTGTCGACATAGTAGTATTAAGAGGAAATCCTAGAAAGAAAATGCAAAATCAGTAGCTATTTGACAGTCAATTATAGCTGCAAAGATGTAGATGATACCTCTTGTATGGCGGGTTTTCAGTGCTGTAAATCCGACAACATTGAACTTTTCAGCCCAATTCATCATAGCATCGCAAGGTTTTCCAGTGAGATCATTCCATGCTGAAATTGTCATGGCATGGTCTTGGCTGATTTACATTCAAGCATTGGCAAAAAGTTAGCTAACTACTAATGTATGTATGAGCTATAATAAAGAAACACTGACAGTGCATTGTCACCTTGTGTCTGTAATAGATATCTCTCGCACTGGACTGTCATGACCACGTGTGTTAGGGATCAGCCTTGGTGCTTCTTCAACAAACAAAATCACTCCAACTATATCTGTGTCAATAAACAGGATACTATTACATAATATGGAAAGTACTTGTGCAATATAGACCCTGAATAAATAATTTATGGCAGAAAAATATGATAGCAGATTTATAAGAAGCGAACCAAATCTGGCATTCGGATCAAGTGATCTAGGAATAGTTGATAGAGGTTGATATTTCGGCTCAATTGGTCCACTTTCTGGATTTAACCGCTGAATAATAGTTTGTTGGCCAACTGTCATTTGGTATGGAAGTTCTTCAAGGTTGAATTTGTACTGATCATCCACAGGTGATATAGGAGCCTTTGAAATCTCGTATTGACCAGATGGTTTGAGAACATCTTCATATGCTTCAATCTGGTCTCCAAAAAGAGCACATCACATCCTGTTTTTCTGGTTAAATAGCCAGCATATGAAGTAATTAGACACTTACATTGCAGAAATCTACTACTCTATACAGAAAGCAAAAGAACACTCACATAAGCAGATTATTTCTAACTAAGAAGAAACCCTTAGGTAAACATTCTGTCCTTTATTTCTGTTGTTTAACAGGTTATCTATACTGTTGTACATACATAACAGAATTATGGTTATCTATACTGTCCTTTATTTCTCTTCCTTCCCCCTACTGCACTTATAACAGAAAGCCACCATGGGAAAAGAGGTCATGCATAAAAAGCACATAATAAGTTTAACATATACTGGTAAAACTAAATCACACAAACCATAGTTACCTTTTCATCTTGTAGAATTATTGTTTGAAAGATCACACCAGGTTTTTTAGGTGAAGGCTGAGCTCTTCCCTTTTCAGTTACAGTCACTTTCACTTTGTAGTCCTTACTTTGAGATGTTAGCTCATCTAAGTATACAGGTTCCAGCTTCATCTTTGGTGGTGTATTCATAGTCTGTGATTTGCGGAACGTAAAATAGTAAGCATGTATACATTAGCAAGCTATAGCATGAAGCATACATCTAAAGTGGTTGTAAAATTTCGATCTTAATAAGAAAAATGTAGCCCTAAAGCAGTATATATTTGCATGTACAGAGTGTACTGTATGTATACATGCATAATCGTGTGAGGTGCACTATGATAATCAACCATTTTTACTGATTCATTTTTCTACCTAGGATTTACTTTAAACAATTCAATGGCAAAACATCATAACAATAAAAGGGAAATAAAGGATGTACAAATGAACATAAAATCATAGACTTGTAGGGATAAATTTTAAAGGGTCTATGTAAAAAGCAGCAATAAGCATGACAAACATAATACATTAAAATGAAAGCTTATATATAGAAATTAAATAAACAAGAGTCTTAGCTACAACTTTAGTAAGGCATGTATCTATAGAGATTCTGCTGTATTTGTGTGAACAGGAACTACAGTGTAAGGATTCATTCGTTCAAGTGAAAACCCTTAAAAAAAAAACCAAGGAAAAAAGGAGAATATACCACAGCTAAGGAGGAAAGCCTAGAGAATAATTTGATGCTTCAAAAGGGCTGAACTAATTTGGTATTTATAGGGTGAAAAAGTAGGTAAGCAAGTTAAAAAAACCCTTTTCTTAACAGTAACCGTTTGGTCACAGTTAACTTTCTTTTTCCTCAAGTATAATTACAGCTAGCAAGCATAATAATCTGAGTTGTACTTTTTTCCTTCTACAATAAGTTTAAATTAAGTAATTATTATGGCTAACAAAACACCTAGGGACTTAAATGGGCAGTCAGAATTTTTTTTTTTGTGGCTAAAATAAAGAGGAAGTACAAGACTGATATTTTATAGCCTTGTTTACTATGAATAGTGCCTTTGACTTGTACTTCTTCTCTTGTATCTATGCAAATGAGCTGTACTCATATTTCATTTATAAAGAGTAACTTAGTATGCAAAGTTTGTAATTCTAATTGTATGGGCTACAATAATAAAGCCCAAAACATATTCAGTTTAAAATACAGTACAAACTTTATTAAAAATTTAAAAGGCACAAGAATTACTACTCTAAGACCATTCTCAGCAGTGAGGAAAAAAAAAACCTCTCAATCTCTCTCTACCCACTTTCTCACTCCTCCCATACAATTTCTCTCACCAAATGTTTTTTTCACCACAGCAATGAGGAGAAAAAAAAACCTCTCATCACTTTCTCCTCCACTATTTTTTAATTTATTTTTTAATTACGTTTAAAAATAATTTAATAAAAATTTATAATTACGTTTAAAAATATTAATAATACTAACTGGAAATTTTTTTTATAAGAAATAATTATAATAATAATAATAACAAGAAGAAATTGGGAAAATATGTTAATTTCTCTAATTTATGGGTTTTTTTGAAAGTATATCAAAATGCATGTCTATTTATAGAGAAAAAAATTTTATGGTCGTTGGTGATTTATTTTTTTTTTTAAAATAATTACAACGGTTATATTTCAAATACAAAATATAACCGTTGTAAAAAAACAACAAAAGCAGTGGGGGCCACATGTTACTGTTCATCACCAAAAGCCCTCAACTCTTGAGGATTTTTATTTTCACTCATCGGTGAGTGTTTTTTCACTCACTGATGTAGTGTTCGGATTTTTTTTTTACACCCTTATTTTTACTCGTGAGGGCTTTTCTCCTCACTGCTGGGAGTGCTCTAAATAACATAAGTTCTCCCGAACCTACGGGCTACGTTACTTGCGGTTGCTACCATTTTTTGTGACTTGCTTAATCTATTCTAGGCAACAAATTATTTTACTCTATGCATACTAAATGGAAAAAAAATGAAATCTTATATGCGAGTATAGTATTCGAACAGATACTTCTAAGCTACTATAAAGAGTGTATCACAAGTATAGCATATTTAAGCCGAGGAAAATCTGTAGTGCAACTGCAAAGGCAGTACTACTAAGCTATAATGGACTATTCTAGTCTTAAAACGAAACCAAGTATATTCTGGTGACCAAACATTGCATAATCATAACAGAAGGGTCGTTATAGCTATACTGAATTACCTTTATCACATGTGGTAAATGACACGACATTCTTAACACTATTAGCAGAGTGCTGATCTGTATCACGTGTGGTAAAAACAGAAATATCTTTTGATTTCTTGGCTCTTGATAATGCAACATAAAGCTGCCCATGAGAAAAGCATGAACGTGGAAGATAGACAGATACTTGGTTGAGAGTTTGCCCTTGAGACTTGTTAATAGTCATTGTCAAGCTTAATTTTACAGGAAATTGTTTCCGTTCAAACATAAACGGGTAGTTCACAGATTTAGAAGGTCTTAAATTTATCCTGTGTATGAATACTTCTTCGCCCTTGTAATGACCAACTGCTATCGTACACTGGATTACATTCGGATAAAACTTTTTACAGATTAACCTGGTACCATTGCATAACCCTGATGAGGGCAGCAAGTTCCTCAACAGTATAACAGGGAAGTTCTCTTTTAACACAAGCTCATGTGGACTCATTCCACCAGGGCAAAGCTTGTTAATAAATTCAGTAGGGTATATGTTGCATGTATCGTTCAGGATTGCATCAAAACTCTTGTACGTAACAACTTGTCCAGGAAACTTCTCAATCATGAATGTATTTATACAATCCTCGTCATCATTCAGGGGTGTCAAGATTGCCTTTTTAGTGAAAACCTCACTGTCAAAGGAGACATTACCAATTTCTGGAAATGTTGTTACAGTAACAGTAGGCACTAAGTCTGGAATGCTTTCAGTGCACTGTACAATCTGTTCTGGCAAATTGACCAAAGCATTTTCTGTTTGCTGTATTTCACCATTACCTAACCGAAGCAAAAAATCAGCATACACTGGATCTTCCCTCGCTCTAATGTTTTCTGTTAGTCTAAATTTCCTGAACTTAGGCCACAGATAAGAAGTAACGATACTTGCTTGAACTGCTTCTTTCATAGTCTTCCGAGGAACGACTGGCAGAACCTGCCTAAAATCTCCGCCGAATACAACAACCTTCCCTCCAAAGACCACCTTATTCCCACATATATCCTGTAATAAAAGATCTAAAGACTCTAGATTTTCCTTTCTAGCAATAGAAGCTTCATCCCATATTATCAATGTAGTTTCCTTCAACAATGCTGTAAACTACCCTGTTTTAGAACATCACACACTAATGACCCCTTATGGTCAACTGGAATCTTAAATCGGGAATGTGCAGTTCTACCCGAAGGAATGTTTGCTGCAGCAGTTCCTGATGTAGCTGTAGGCAATACAATTTTGTTCATCTACCGTATTTCTGCATATAGAGCATTGTACAAGAAAGTCTTGCCTGTCCCTCCAGGACCATCAATAAAGAAAGCGCCACCTTTCTGCTGCAGCACATGTTCCATTATGCATTCAAAGGCTACATTCTGTGCAGCATTTAGCTTTGATCGACAACCTAAGCATTCCTCTGGGATCGGTGCATCAAGAGCATCTATGATATCTTTTGTACGGCTAAATTCATCACTAACTTCTAATGTTAAGTGTTCCAGTCCAAAAAAAGCAAGAGATCTTCCCATGCCTTCAAGGTGCTGCTCAACAGCTCTAACAGTGAGTTGCTGTATCTTCACTGTCTGATTTGGAAACCTATGAGAGAAATCTTCAGCAAGGAAGGAATAATAGGTATTCCAAAGAATAGCAGGATCTCTTGGCTGACAGAACATCAGAACCGTTGCAAAAAGGCGACGTAAAGCAACAGGCATATGAGTATCGCATGCTTCAGCCATTGTCGAATTAGCTGTATCATCAGCTTCAATAAGACCCCGCTTTAGAGCAGCTTCTTGAAAAGTTGGATACACACAACTATTCACAGTGCGTAAATCTTCAAATGACATAGGGCTCCTTACATTCAACAATAGCAATCTAAGGAAGAACCTTTCACCTTCTGCAGGAAAGACAAACACTAACCGCCCAACTGAAATCCTGTTGTGAACTCTTTGTTTCCAAATCTTATCACTTTGATGCCACATGTAGTGCTCGCAAAATTCACCATGCAGATATCCTAAGCCATGTTTAGAAGCAGCATTCATGGCAAAAAATTCAGTTAGCTGAGTTCTTGATCGTTTACCATCTGAAACAACAGACTGTAACCTTTCATGAGGATGAACTCGAACAGTCTGCATGTTAGGTAAATGCACTTGTAAAGGCAAAACGGAAGGATACATGTCAAACAGATCAAAACTGAATATCCTCCATGCAGCTTCACAAGGAGATACCCATCTTCCTGATTGATACTGGTGAATTTAATCAACAGGAGTGCTATTAGAATCCACAACATTGTATGAAATTCTATCATGACCTTTGTATACATACTTGTATAAATACTTGACTGCTTTAATAGTCGAACATACCTCGACATTCAAATGGCAATCAAACAGCATAGAAAGATAAGGATTGTAGGGAATAACCCACTGATTGTCTAGCTCTGCATTTCTTATACTAACCTTTTCTCCAATTTCTCTTCTGCGATACATAGGATAACCATCCTTATTATTTGTTGTTTTGCTGCAGAACTGCTTAGGATACTTGTTTTTACAGGTACGCCTAAGTCCATTTTTGCGCATGCAAGGACACTCTGGATTCGGTATACCACAAGGGCCATGCATCATATGCGCCAATACAATTCTTCTCAACCGGAGATTAGTCTCAGCAGGAATTTCAGCACAGACAAATCTATCATAGTTAGCAGGAGATTTGAGCTTGTATTCGGGTTTCAGAATAATCAGGAAATGAGCATGTGGGAGCCCTCTTTTCTGAAACTCGATTACATAGATCATGGCAGCAACTTCCCCAAATACTTTTTTCTCCATAATCTCTTTTTTCAGTGCAAGTAGCTTTGCTCTAAAAATCCTTGCAACCAAATCGGGTCTATCCTGTGCATTTTCACCAGCACCAAGCTCAGCCTTTATTTCAGGCCAATTAGCATTACATGTAATTGTTACAAAAAGATCTGGCTTGCCAAATCTCTGGACCAAAGCCATAGCATTTAAATAACGCTTCTTCATATCACGAGGACCACCAATATAAGTAGGAGGCAAAATAACTCTACGACCAAGATTTTCCCCAAGAGTCTCCCCGATATCCAGTGAATCCAAAATACCTTTATACAAATCGGCTCTTATTGTGTCCTGATTGTTTCTAAAGTAATCAAGCCTTGTATTTTCAATCTTCACATACATATCGACAATGTACTGTTGGAAACACCTTCCTGCTCGCAGCAGCATATTATTAGGCCTGATCTGCAATCTGTACGCATAATACTCCCTAGCAGAGATAAACTTGTCTGCTTTAGTATTCTTCCTCTTTGAACCTACAGTGAGAAGGGCAACCTAAATGTTTCAAATCCAAAAATATAAGAACAAAAAAAATGCAATTAGATAGCTTAGGATAAGAAATGCTTACGGGTTTCTTCCTGATTTAATAATTCAGCTGCCGTATGGACAACACAAGACATAATAGGATCTGGAATTGTATCTGTTGCTATCCGACTTGGATGAGAATTCTTTTTAAGACCCTGAGTCCAGCCACATTCTCCCCGAGGAAATAACAAAGGATATTGGAGCGGATCATAGCGACCATAATTATGGTAGATTCGGGGAGACTCATTAGATGTTGCAGTCACTAATATATGAGGGCCCAAGCTTTGGCTAGATGAAGCACTCTCTGGCCAGATGACATCAACATCATCAGCAGTAGGAGCATTATAGATGCGTTGATCAAGAACCGGGGCTTGATTTAGCACAATTCTTGTATCTGCATGAATAGTTTTATCTCTTAAAGTCCGAAAGAACACAGCATAAGGATTTTGTTGAGATACCTGCATTAGAATACTGATCACATCTTCTCTTAACTCAGGAAAACAACCCAGCCTATGTTCTGCCTCATGCTGGCCGTCATAAAAGTACAGCTGGAGGTATTTTGGATTACCCTCATCAGGCAATAAATCTGGAACAAAATGATACAGTTGCCCATGCAATTTGAATACATAAATCCCTTTGTAAGTGCTTGCATAGTAATGACCCCCAAGCGAACTAAATGCAAACAAGTTATTATATAGTCTAGCATATTTTCTAAAATGCACAACACCTTCATCTTTAGAAGTAAATAAGTACACAAGTTCATGAGGATAGACATTCTCAGCTATTGTAATGTCTCCATTCCCACAGCAAAAATCTAAGGACTCAAACATAAATTTTTTTGCACCGCATTTGTCACAGAAGAAAGGCATAGCAAGTCTGAAAGGTTCTGCCGGTAACTGTCTATCCATAGAAGCAGCAAGAACATCTACCCAAAGAATCAAGAGCAGAAAAAAAAAAACACATGAGAAATCTCATAAGAATGCAAAGCAAAGAAAGCAATATATATAACCACAGAATCATTTACCTTCTAGGTTAGCTTGTTTCTGTGTTTTTTTACAAGCATTTTTTTTCGGTTCTGCTACTCTACATGAATCAGAGGCTTCATCATGCACGGTATATCACAGCTAAAGACAAACTTTTCAAGACAATGTAACACAGTATAGCCACTACCATGGAAAAAAACAGCATGCTAGCATTTATGTACAGAAAAAGGAGGCTTTATTTAAACAGCAGAAAAGATGACAATAAAAGGGGCTATTCAGTTAATATGGTATACCTATCCAACTGAGGCATAGAAAGTTCTTGTATACATTTCTGTCGCTTTGATATACATGTCCGTGGACGACCTTTAACACCAAGCTGGGTGTCTGGTAAAGGCGGGCTGCGTTTAAAGCTATAGATTATTTTTTTTCTTTCCCGAAAACCCTTGCTAGCATTCCTAAGTAATACAACATTGCCAAATGTATGTACCTAGCAAATGCTGACTGTGATGTCCTTTGGGAAGCCTTATTTAATCTACTGCATCGCTTTCGAGATAATTGAGGTATGCCATAGTGACAATCTACCAAAAACCAGATTATAATTACACAAAGCAGTAAATCAAACCAAGGACAGCACTTTGACTTATTTAACTGGTAATGCATAGGGCTGGCAAAAGCTGACCCGACCCGATAACCCGACCCAAACCCAACCCGAAATAAATGGGTTTTGATAGAGAATTTCAACCCGTTTATGTAATTGGGTCAACCCGAACCCAACCTGAAGTTAAACAAGTCGGGTTCAGGTTGGAAATCCCAACCTGAAACCAACCTGCCTAAACCCATTTATTTAATTGGGTCGGTTTCAGGTCGGGTCAACCCGAACCCAACCCGCCTAAACCTGTTTACCACTCTGTTTCTACAACCTAATTTTCAAATATGGGCCAATTAAGCCCAAACTATCTAATAAAAAACCCTAAAAAAAATCATACCTCACGCCGCTTTTCATTCAATATTTACTCATTCTCTTTCTCTCTCCTCTCTCTTCTCTAGTTCTCTCTCTTTACCCTCTTGTTTTTAATTCTTTTCCATTAAAATTGTTGATTGAAGCTTAGCTTGCTGAATATTCATCTCAACATTCCCAAGGTCATTTACTTGTTAATTTCATTCTCTTTACTTAATTTTTTTGTGTTTTGATACGTTTTTTTCGTCAATTTCAGTAATTTACATGTTATTATGCGTTTTATTTCTTCTATTTCAATAATTTACTTGTTTTAATCTGATTGAAGTTTGTTTGTTTATGGGTTTATTTGTTTATGCTATTTTTTCATCACTTTGATTATGCGATTTTATTTGATTTTTTATCATCTATTTATGCGATTTACTTTGATTTTTTTATGAGTTTATGAGAATATTTCAGCTTGTTTATGAGTTGATTTTTTCATCATGAGTTGGAAGCTTGGAATGGTGTGAATGTTGTTAACTAATTTTTTGCATTTTTTGTGATTTCTCTCTGCATTTGGCTTAATTATTTATTTAATTTATTCTTAATCAACAGATAGTTGACAGCCTCATTCCTTCTGAACCCATTGAACATGCGAATCCGAATAAGATGATGAAGATACTGAATTATGTCGAACGCAGCAGCACCTGTTTTGATTTTATTGCCTAATTATTTATTATTTATTTGATAATACCCAGCCAGTTTATCATATTTAATTTTATTGTTGTAGGATTGTATGAACTGTAATGGAATTATAATGGATTTATGTTTGCTTTGAATTTGTATTTTATGTTAGTTGAATGATACATGTATAAATACATGTTAAACAAATTACAAGGGTATTTTTAAAATAAAAAAAAAAAAAAAAAAAAAAAAACAGGTTTAGACGGCTCGGGTTTAGGTCGACCCGTTTAAAACCAGGTCGGGTTCAGGTTGATTTATTTGACCTGTTTAAGTAAACAGAATAAGGCAAAACTCAGAACCTGACATGATAAACACTAAATAAATAATAATTTCATTCATTAAAAGGTAGCCATAATAGGAAATACATGAACGGGCTTCATTACAGGCCCAAAATTCCAGCTACATCATACCAGCTAGCACCGCTAGTTCAGACAAGCGTAAGTGCTAAGCAAAAGTTAAATACAAAGTAAAGCTGACCACAACAGCAGTAAAATCCTAACAACTGGACACACACCCCTAACTATATAAATTCCAAAAGAAGCTAGACCTTATACACAGAGCTATTCAGTCCTAGCACATTTGTAAACAGCAGATAACTCAGCTAGACCAGTAACCATCTGATCAGAAATATGGACTCCTACGCCACTTGCATTCAGCTCATTTCTCTCGATCCTACGCTTCACTGGTAGACTTGGCGGAAGTGCCAGAACTGGAATCTGGTTTGCCTCGTCAGTTGGCATCACACATGAATCGCTAGCCAAACAGGTAGCAGGTTGAGGCTGAACAACATTCCTTTCCAAACATTCAATATGCCCTTTCAGCACCAAATACCTCTCCCTTATCAGAGAACATTCTCCACTCATCTTTGCTGCAGCACCATAGATAGCATCAACTATCTCTAGATTGAACACAAAAGCTATAAAGAAGCATGCTTTCTTTGTAACCCTTTGCTCAGCAATTGCTGGTTCAGTACAAGGGTCACTGAAAATGCATTCCATGGCAATACTATTGTGAGCACAGGTAACCATCAGCCAAGACATATAGACATGGCCATCTAACCTAGTGGTCTCAATACCAATCACAGTGACACCAGTCTTTCTCACTAAGACTCCCAAAAACTGTGCAAAATCCATTGCAACATGAACATCATGAAACGATACAACCTCTCTTGTACTGCACTCTGCACGTATGGAATTCAAATCTTCTCTGTGCTGTACTAACTCAGCACATCTATTTTTTTTTATATAATTTTACACACAGGCGGTACATCTTAATCCGTTCATAGGGAAATCAGACACGCGAACATTAAAACGGCTGACTAATCTCTTCACAGCCTTATGAGCTGCTCTCTCACGAGATTCTTCGACAGAAGCAGCATCTCCACCGTAGAAAACGAAATTCGTACGGCAGCTAGGCTTACTAACCCGTACAAAAACATTGTTCTTAGCAGCATCTATAAAGCCATAAACCGGAGATGGAAACTGCAGCCAAGCAACCACCTTTTCCAAAAGAGGCTGGAAAGGAACAAAGACTCTATTTGATCCTCTAGCCATAACCTGTAATGGCAAAATTTATTTTCAGGACAAAGTATGTAGAACAGGACACACTCTTTCTCTCGCAAAGAAAGCACTAAGCCCTATCTACAATAACTAACATAAACTGTAATCAATCAAAGGGAAAAAAACAAGTCTATACAAAGAGAACCCTGCTATACAAAGACAGTAAGTCCATGTTTAATGGCAATATAAGTAACAACACATCGATTATACCCTCAACTTACAAACAGTAATACGAATGAAAATACCAACAACTGGAAAGGTGTAAAGAAGCCAACCAGTATATATTTCAATTAAACATGAGGCACATGATTCCTTCAATCTTCCTTCCTCCTACATACTCCTTTGTAAATGCACATCATCACCCGAATCCTTCAATTCTATAATACATTAAGCCTTAAACTTATAACAACACAATAGCGATCACCCATCAAAGAGTATGGTTTCCTTGCTTAAACCATCTCACTAACTAATGCACCAAGTCTAACAAATGAATGCAACACCATATTCTTCATGTTACCAAACAAAACAGGCAACCTTAACTCTCCTAAAAAATCGACACACTTTGTGCCTTTTCTTTTTTTTTTTTTTTTAAACAAATCTTTAAAATATCATGATATACCTAAAGCTAATAGCAACACATTAGGAAAAAGCATATTATCAAACAAAGGAGTTCAACAGCAAGAGGCAAGATAAGCATAACAACCACCTTAAAAAATGTTGTAAGCTGAAGAAGGAAAATGAGCTGCGACCAGCAACAACGCAAATAGCATAACCAGCAAACCTGTAACCCCACAAACAACCACAGTAAGAATAAACCAATCCATATGTTCATTAATAAGTATTCCCACTAATTCTTGCCTTCACAAAGTATTGAAATTACTACGGTCATTTAAGGACACAGAGACCTATTTAATGGTTCAAATAATTCCTACACACCACAGAGCAATTATACCACTAAAGAGCCACTTCCAACACCACAAGCAAACACAAAAACGAAGATCAAACCATTATCACGGGGAGTCAAACAGCAAAAGAACACCGGCAAAGATATTACCATGAATTAAGTTTCGATAATCTTAGGTCCAATTTGTCAGGGAATCCGAAAAAACTATATATTCACAAAGCAAGTCGATCAAATACAGAATATAATTTCATCTATAACAAAGCACAACCTCTTAAACATACACTCCTCTAGAAGAAATTCAGATCGCCCACACTCAGAAAAGGAACACTCTCCCTCTCTATATATAGACAACGGTAACCAATGGCACCCCAATTACATAACCCTAGAACTACAAGACTTTTCCATTCATATTCAAAGTCAAAGTCTTTTTTAATTACAGAAAATAAGACACTGAAGTAACGACCAAGTAAATGACTCCATTAAGGTAACACAAAGGCTACACCAAAGACAACATAACCTACACCACGATCCAGAGGAACAAGAAAACATACCAGCCACTGTGCGAGAAACAACCATACCTAAAACGTACGAAATCCATTCCAGACCTCATCATCAACCCAGAAGTGTACGCAACAAACCCAACTACAGGAAAGACCCAAAGCAAAATAACAAAGCAAGAACAAAATGAACCTTCAAAACCAGAACGAACAACACCTTAGCTGGCAGGCAAAGACAGAACGAACGACTGCTGTAGGCTTCAGCTCACACGGCAAAAATTTGCAATAAAGCTAAGCAAGGGCAATATCGGAAATGCATTAAAATTAAGGGCAAGGCTGTAATAGCACCACACAGCACTATTCACCAGCTACAGTATTTACATTTGCATGTTTATAAGGTTTAAAGATATAAGAATACAATAGAACAGGTCGGATGCAAATGTTGGTCCCTTTATTTCCATCCACATTTTAAATTTTTATTCTATTTCTGTCTCATTACCCATGACAAGTAATAATTTCATCCCATTTTTGCCCCCCCCCCACCAAATACAAAAATCCATCACCTCCTTACCACCCACTTGATATCCATCCCCATCTAATATCCAATATCACCTTACCTGTCAAATCAAGTTATAATTTCAATTCAATACATAATTAAAAAAAATAACACTAATATTGTGTAATTAAATGGCTTATAGTTATACTGTATTACATAATTTATATTGTTATATTTTTTCAAGGTATATACTTCGTTCCTTTGTAATCGCAACAGTAGGGATTTCATACCTGCCAATGCACATTTTATAACATTAATATATGTTATTACGTTTTAATAATAATCAAAAAAGTTGATATGATAAAAGTATATTTTGAGATGATTATAACAAGATCACACATGATAATATTTTTTCCAAAGTATAAATCATAAAGGACAACTAAAGGGTGTGTGTAAAATTATATATGTTCAAACATTGCGATTAAAAAAAAATCAAGCGAAGGAAGTATGAAAAAAGTGACATTTGAAAAAAAAAATTGCAGTAGTAGGGTCAAGAAGTGAGTGCGAAGGGGACTAATGAGGCAGGTTCACCATAAAATTAACACCCGTCCCAGCTAGAGCTGTCAATTCGGGTATTCAAGTCGGGTTTGGGTCGGGTCAAATTAGGTCTCGGGTTAAATCAGGATCAGGTTGTGTCGGGTTAATATAGCTTCAGATCAGGTTCAGGTTCAGGTCGGGTCAATTTCAGTACAAGTTATAACGGGTCGTTCACCTTTTCGGATATAGGTCGGGTTCAATTCGAGTTAAATTCAAATCGGATTTAATTTCAGATTCGGGCTGTGTTGAGTCGGGTTTGGATGGGTTAACAAGATGGTACATTCGGGTTCGGGTTAGTGTTGAGTCGAGTTCTGGTTCAAGTTCAATTCTAATAAATATCGATGTGGCCAAGTTGAACTATATAATTACGCCTTCCATATTTTGATCAAGCATCATCAAGATTTTTTTAAACCTATATACGAGTAATAGAGAACAAAAGTTATATAAGCTGAACAAAAGATTTTATCAAATCGGATTGAGGGTTTACAGAATTATACCAGTATATAAGCTGAATAAAAGGTATATAAAATTTTATTAAACCTTCCATGCATGACTCGGGTTCATGTTTTAATAGTGTCGGGTACTAGTTCATGTTCGGATTGTCTTCTGGTCGGATTAAATCAGTTGACGGTTACTATCAGGTCGGGGGCAGGTTCGGGTTCAAGTCATAAAGTATTGGACCAAATGGGTTTTCGGTTAAGATCAGGTTCAGGTCAGGTTAATGGTCACTACTTCCACCCCATTGTTCGAGTACAGACAAGGTTCAGATCTTTGTCCGTTAAGGTCGGGTTCTCGGGTCGAGTTAGTTTTTGACAACTCCAACTATAATACACACTTTTTGAGGAAATTTTGAGGTTCCGAGGTCCGGTGGCAAAAAGTGTTGCAACCCTAGGGGATATATCTTGGGATCATATAATGCCGTTTGAAACCACATATAATCATTACATGTTTTCATAAACGTACGTGGTAGGCTTAAGTTTACGAAATCAATGCAAATTGTGAACGGGTAAAATGACCGTTGAAGAGTATATTGGATGGTTCAACCGACCCAATTGGACACCCGGAGGGTATTAGAGACCATGGTAAATATCTCGGCAATTTTTATTTCCGGACGAAAAAGGTAAAAAAAAACTACAAAATTGAAGGTTATAATCCAAGCTTTTTGAGGAAATTTTGAGATTTTGGGGCCCAGTAGCGAAAAGCCTTGAGACCCTAAGGGATACATCTCAGGGTCATATAATGTCGTTTAAAACCATATATGATCTTTATATGTTATCATAAACGTCCATGGTAGGTTTGAGTTTACGAAATCGGTGCAAATTGCGAACGTGTAAAATGACTGTTTTAGGACATATTGGGATAGTTCCACCGACCCAATTTGACTCCCGGAGGTTATTAAGGACCATGGTAAACATCTTGACAATTTTTATTTCCGCGTGAAAAAAGGTAAAAAAAAATACAAAATTGAAACCCTAAGGGATAAATCTCGGGGTCATATAATGCACGCTTTTTAAGGACTTTTGAGGTTTCAGGGACCGGTGGAAAAAAGCTTTGAAACCCTAAGGGATAAATCTCGGGGTCATATAATGCCGTTTAAAACCATATATGATCATTATATGCTGTCATAAACGTCCGTGGTAGGTTTGAGTTTACGAAATTTGTGCAAATTGAGAAACGGGTAAAATGACCGTTTCAGGACATATTGGATGGTTCCACCGACCCAATTGAAATTTTGGAGGGTATTAGGGACCATGGTAAATATCTCGACAATTTTTATTTTCGGGCGAAAAAAGGTCAAAAAATTACAAAATCGAAGGCTATTATCCACACTTTTTGAGGAAATTTTGAGGTTTCAGGGCCCAGTGACTAAAAGTGTTGAGACACTAGGGAATATATCTCTGTGTCATATAACGCCGTATGAAACCATATATGATCATTATATGTATTCATAAACATCCGTGGTAGGCTTCAGTTTACGAAATCACTACAAGTTGTGAACGGGTAAAATGACCGTTTAAGGGCATATTGGACGGTTCCACCGACCCAATTTGACTTACGGAGGGTATAAAGGACCATGTTAAACATCTCGACAATTTTTATTTCCGGGCGAAAAAAAGGTAAAAAAAAAATACAAAATTAAAGACTATATAATCCACGCTTTTTGAGGAATTTTTAGGTTTCGCGGTCGGTGGCAAAAAGCTTTGAAACCATTAGGGATAAATCTCGGGGTCATATAATGCCATGGAAAACCATATATGATCATTATATGTTGTCATAAACGTCCGTGGTAGGTTTGATTTTACAAAATCTGTGCAAATTGCGAACGGGTAAAATGACTGTTTCAGGACATATTGGATGGTAGGTTCCACCGACCTAATTGGACACCTGGAGGGTATTAGGGACCATAGTAAACATCTCGACAAATTTTATTTCCGGGTGAAAAAAGGTCAAAAAATTACAAAATCGAAGGTTGTAATCCACGCTTTTGAGGAATTTTGAGGTTTCAGGGACAGGTGGCAAAAAGCTTTGAAACCGTAAGGGATACATCTCGGGGTCATATAATGCCGTTTAAAATCATATATGGTCATTATATGGTGTCTTAAACGTCCGTGGTAGGTTTGATTTTATAAAATCGGTGCAAATTGTGAACGGGTAAAATGACCGTTTCAAGACATATTGGATGTTTTCACCGACCCAATTGGACTTTTGGAGGGTATTAGGGACCATGGTAAACATCATGGCAATTTTTATTTCTGGATGAAAAAAGGTCAAAAAATTACAAAATCGAAGGCTATTATCCACGCTTTCTGAGAAAATTTTGAGGTTTCGGGGCCCGGTGGCGAAAAATGTTGAGCCCCTAGGGGGTATATCTCATTGTCATATAATGCCGTTTGAAACCATGTATGATCATTGTATGTTGTCATAGACGTCCGTGGTATGCTTGAGTTTACGAAATCACTATAAGTTGTGAACGGGTAAAAAGACTGTTTAATGGCATATTGGACGGTTCCAACGACCCAATTTGACTCCCGGAGGTTATTAAAAACCATGGTAAACATCTCAGCAATTTTTATTTCCAGGTGAAAAAAGGTAAAAAAAAAATAAAAAAAAATGAAGGCTATAATCCACGCTTTTTGAGTAATTTGAGGTTTCGGGGATGGTGACAAAAAGATTTGAAACCCTAAGGGATAAATTCCGGGGTCATATAATGTCGTTTAAAACCATATATGATCATTATATGCTGTCATAAACGTCCGTTGTAGGTTTGAGTTTACGAAATCAGTGCAAATTGCGAACGGGTTAAATGACCGTTTCAGGACATATTGAATGGTTCCACCGACCCAATTGGACTCCTGGAGGGTATTAGGGACCATGGTAAACATCTCGACAATTTTTATTTTCAGGCGAAAAAAGGTCAAAAAATTACAAAATCGAATGCTATTATCCACGCTTTTTGAGGAAATTTTGAGGTTTCGGGGCCCGGTGGCGAAAAGTGTTGAGACCCTAGGGGATATATCTCGGTGTCATATAATGCCGTTTGAAACCATATATGATCATTATATGTTGTCATAAACGTCTGTGGTAGGGTTGAGTTTACAAAATCACTACAAGTTGTGAACGGGTTAAATGATCGTTTAAGGGCATATTGGACGGTTTCACCGACCCAATTT